TTGGCCATACCGGACACGGTTATGGGATTGACATTTGTTGCTGCTGGTGTATCTGTGCCCGATGCCCTAAGCTCAATAGCGGTAATCAAAGAAGGTTTCGGCGACATGGCCGTATCGAATGCGATTGGCTCGAATGTCTTTGATATCCTAGTGTGCTTAGGTCTTCCGTGGTTTATACAAACGGCCATAATAAAGCCGGGCTCGCACGTCAATGTCATTTCGAAAGGTATGTATACATACGTACTTAATTAATTTTTTATTTTTTATTTTTTGTTTAATGAGTGCGAAATGCTACATGCATGTATATATGTACATATGTACTCTGGTATGTATGTACGTAAATACATATGTACATAAATACATATGGGAGCTACTACTGCATATTTAAGTAAATCGAAGTCGATGCTGAGGAATGGCTATGGTCAGGATTGTGCATATGTATGTAATACGTATTTAATTGAATGTACATTTGCTTGTGTATGAATGATAAGCAATTAGTTTTATATAAATTACTGTGTGCACATGTACTTATGTAAGTATGTCTTTTCTATTATTTTTATTCAATCAAAGTTCAATTGTTAATACACACCTTCAATTTAAAATTCACTATAGTTTTTTTGTTAAAGTAAATGCAATTTAACCAAAGCTAAAAAAGTTAAGCATCGTAATTAGCGATTTGCAATAAATTCTATTTCACTATAGTATGCAGTTGTTGTCACATTATTTTTTGGATTTTAAACTTACGTGCATATATTTTATATTCGGATATTCGTGTAGGCGATTGAAATTCGAATATCCGATTAAATCTGTTAATTTTACCATCCTAATGTCCGGTTGATATCCGTCATTTTGTTAACCGGATATTCGGATTTTCTGGACGTTAAAAAAATCCGGATACAACTGCCAGCCCTAATTTAAGTCTACAAATTTTTTACAACATTAATTGATTAGTTGCGGCTCATACTCCGAATATGTATGCCCAAAGTTTTAACAGAAAACCCCTGTAAGCTCATTATGTATAGGTTAGGCACTTGGACATAAGCATCTGTCACCCTCAACTGTTTACCTGCGACCAGAAAAAGAAATCCAGCTTTGGCATATGTTCCGCCTTCGCTTTTCTCGATGAAACCGCCTCGAGAATACCCTTCTTGTCCAACTCAACCGCAAAGCAGTTTCCTGCTATCATTATAGCTTAAATAGTACTGATATAAGTCTAAATACACCAGAAAAAACGAAAGCAAAACAAAGAGAAGTCGAAAATGCCCCTGCTAGCTTTGAGGGCAGCGTGAGCGAGTCCAAGAATCTGCTAATCACTTGTATATTAAATTAAATATTTACCTCATGCAGTTGAACAGCTAATCGACTATTTTCTTAAAAGGTAGCAGATGACAATAAATCCCAACTAAAGTATTAAACATGATAAAATATGGCTTCCACTTCGATAAATACATCTAAAATACTAGTGAAGACACCGATTGGAATGAGTGGAACGTTACAGTTTTCAAGTAGTTTTAAGCGAAAACTGGTTTTCGTTTGGCAGATTTTACATGGACGAAAACACATGTTTTAGTTCGAAATCCAGTTACAGCAACTAAAACATGTTTTCAATGTCGGTCCGAACATGGTATTAGCCCTCATTACTTAAAAAAATTAATTTGCTAGATCTCGTTAGTAAAACTTTCAATATGGCACGAACGAGAGTTAAACTCACACTGTGAAAATGGCCTTAGGCTAGGTTGGATTTTCGTTGCTGTCCCCATCCAACGTTGGGAAGAAGCACAATTAGGCCGTCGTGGGTCCATTGTTATATCATAGTAAAGGCTCCTTATATGTTGCCTGTTCCTGAAAATGAAACCAATTCGTTGATGTAATGAAGGTCTCAAAATCATATACATATCTAAACGACCCTAAGTTAAGCAACAAATCTTCAAATACTTAATTCTTTTATATGCATAGTACTTATTTATTAACTTTTTTGCACTTATAATTAGGGGATTCACAAGACGTGTTAACGTCGTAAAATTTTAAGCCTATTTTTTTTTTATATATAAAATTACCGTTAAAATGCTTTTAGAGGATTTATAACTACACCGAAATGTTTTTAATTCGATAAAAATATATAATTAGCCCCCCTAAAACCATTTTAACTGTTATTTTACATAAAAAAAATGTTAAGCTTAAGATTTTACGACGGTTAACACGTCTTGTGAATCCTCTAAATGTTGTAAATTTTTTAACTTTTAATATTAAATACAAATAAATTGTTGATATTTTTCACTATAGACTTTTTTGATATATCGTATGTATGTACATACATACTTTTTAATCCATGCATATGCAGTATAACTGATTTTGCTCCTACCGATTCAGCAAATAAAAGCTTAAGATTAATCGTAATCCAAACAGAGTATTTAGTAGAGTTATTCGATTAAAATTGATCAATCCCCGCCACTCCATTTTAAAAACCCAATCATGCAGTATGGCAACGTTGGACCGGGGATCACCTCGTTAATTCAGAATTATCTCGCGAAATTCCCGAAATTAATTTGGAACAAGGGTCAGACCAGCCAAATATTGCCGAGTTGTCAGAAATCTGTGCTACAACTCACCAACACCTAGGTTCGAGTCCCACTCCGAGCGATTCTCAAAAAAAATTTTTTATTTTAATTTTTTTAGTATATATTTTTTAATTATAAATAGTTTTATCTTTTTTTATTTTAGTTTATCTTCTTTTTTATTGTTTCACATAATTCTTTCATGTTACTCAAATTTTTTAGACTTTAATTTTATTTAAAAAGGGCAATATAGTTTATACTGGGGTACAACTTTGATCAGATCAACTATGCCGTTAATGCGGATCAACGTAGCCGTGAACTAGCCTCCATATTTCCATGCTGGATTGAAACACTCTGTCTTGATTAAATGCATTAAAAGTCACGCAAATAATTACGTCCTTTCCCTTACGGCTACTTTAAAGGCTATGTAGGGCGTTCTGCCCTTTTACTGACGATTTATTGTCAGAGAAACTGGCGTGAATGTAACCTTTTGCTATGTGATCTTAGGGATACTACCAGTGACTAGCTTACTTCGGTTAGAGAGACTAGGGAATTATGCGACTTGCATTAAATATGTATCATCGTCGGAATAAAGAAGTTGTACTGCAATGCATTTTACACCGAGCGACAAAACATTTTACACACGCAAAAAGGAATATATTCGCGAAACTATGGGTAAATTATAGTAACACTTGCCTACATAGTTTTTGTATCTGATGTCAGGTTTTTTTTTTGAAGGGCTTTGGAATTTAAAAAATATGATTATTTCAAAAAATTATTTTAAAAATTCAGTGCAATGTAGAATGACAATATAGGTATCATTAAAAAAATCTGTAGAACTATAACAGAATAAGTTTTTTGGTACATAAGGGCGAAGGGGTACGGAAAATGTCCTTTACAAATTTTGTCCTTAAATATCATTTGCAATATTTTTTTTCTTAACTATTGTTTGAGGACTAATGTACGCACGACCTCATCATCGATTTTCGTCCTGCTAACTTTATTAACTTAAAAAGATAAAATTTATTAATAGCGAATTTTCAATACCTATTCGTTCTTGTAAACCCAAAAACTTTATTGTTTTTAAATTTTACCCGTATTGTTATTCTACATTGCACTGATTTTTTAAATATTTTTTTTTTTTAATCAATCATATCTTGAACATTTCGAAGCGCTTTGAAAAAAATCTTGACGTCAGAATGAAAAACTAAATACGCAGTTTAACTGTATTTGGCCCATAGTTTCATAAGTATATCGATTCCTTCGTGTGTTTTGAATTTTTTTTTTTGTTTTTGTTACACGGTTTTATATTGTATCAGCACTGATTACTTTCAACTTATCGTATTTAACAGTAGATTTTATTGCTAAATATGTATGTCACTATGTACCTATAAAGTATTGAAATTTTTCTTAGAATTTTGTTTACAATCACGTTACTATTGATGCAACTTTTGATGCATATATACATCCATCATTTACATAAACATAAATTTTTATCAGTGCTTATAAATAGATTTCAACTTTCTCGCCTCCAGGTTTGACATATTCCACTTTGTCACTTTTCTCGACGGTCATCTTTCTCATCTTATCCACACATTTGAACGGCTGGAAATTGGACAAACGACTTGGCATCATCCTAATGATTTGGTATTTATGCTTCATAACATTGGCATCGTTGTATGAATTAAATGTATTTGGATACATGAACCCACCGGAATGCACCAGTAAATATTAATAAGATTCATAATTGACAATTACATACTTGCATCTACAGAATCTCATAATATTTGTATTGTCTTTACTTTCAGGTGATTACTAAGTACATACTAGACCAAATGTGGCTGTAATAAAAATATATGAAAAAATAATAAGGAGGAGGCTAAGGGCACAACAAGTTATTGTAAAAGCTAATCAACAAATCACAGAACTAAGTTGCACACAAATAGATATTTACAACTGTTGATGTATGTTATGTATTTGCGTAAGCTGAAAAAAAAAAAAAAGTTTGTAAAACTGGGTCGACGTCAAGAAGGTTTCGCAGATTACGTATCTACGTACATACATATGTATGAATGTAAGAAAAATCAAAACAATGTAGATACATCTACATATAAAAAATCCATACATACCTATTAATTGATACCCTGCAGTAAAATTAAGAGACAGTCTGACAAAGCGCTAGTTCCGAACTACATACTATATCAGAACTAAATCTGAACTAGCGCAAAACGGATGCAGAGCGGGACAGTTGAAACTTGCGTTGTATTGTACTCGTACAATACGAAAGTAGCAAGCATCGTTGGCCGTGAGTTCAAATTGCGGTGGGGGCAGTTGTAAGTTTTCAAAGTTAATGAATTCAAATTGTTGCGTACAGCTTGCAATAATTTTTATTTTTATTTTATTTTTTTTTTTAATAAAATATGTGTAACAAAAATGGAATCTGTAACAGAAAAGAAAAACCAAAAAAAAATATCCAAAAATCGAATCTTAAAAACGTTTTTTAATAAAAAAAAAAACTGTTCAAAACGGAAGCGGTTAAAACTAGTTGCAAAGTAATGCACTGGGCGACAGTTGCCACCGGCAATGACATGTAAAACTGGACAGTCGAAAGCATTGCTTGGGTCTAGTTCTACGCTAGTTCTGAGCTGCGTCAGATTTCCTGCAGGGTATGTATGTATGTATGTATATATATATATGTATGTATTTATGTATGGTTTTGCGCAGAACAGATGCCACTGGTAGGCTTGAAATGGATTTTGTTGTGTTGCTAAGCGGACTGGATGGATGGCTGGCTGTGCAGTGAAGCTGGACAAATGCATTTGTTAAGTTTATTCCACGCTTTGATCTCTCGTTTTCTTATTATTATTCTCCAATCCCATCAATCGCATCCTCTAACGACAAAGCAGAAATCAGAAGCTTAATGTACAGAATCAGCACCAAACTCCATATCTCATTGCATAAACTAGACTATGTAATACCAAAATACTAAAATATGTATGTGCATAATTATGCACTTACACGGCGTTTACATAAGACAATTTTGCCAAGACAAAAGCAATGCATTCACACTTTTTCACTACTACATTCACACTTCTCTCATTGTCTTCATCGTCACTGTCCTTGATTTTTCGAAGACAGTGAATTGGACAATTAGGTCACGTCTTAATAAATTTGAGTAAATAATATGAAATTCGCGCCAAACGACGCTAACGGCGGTTGCTGAAAAATAGGTTCTCTCCGTAACAATCCGGACCGGATGCGGTAATTAGAAAATAAGCGAAAAGTTTGCTCTCAAAAATGGAACATAATGTTTTTTTGTCACTTAAATGTAAACTCTTTGAAATTTAATTTTCGTTTTACAAATTTGATTTTAGGTATATAAAGATTAAAAATACATCAACAGGCCATTCACTATTCCTTAAAAGCACCAAGTAAATGCAGGCAACATGTAAACCCAAAACAGCTGATATGCACTTTGACACTTTATCCATTTTTACCCGGAGAAAATGTCCGGACTATTTCGGGACTTACGATCCAATACGTTCCAATTTTCGCTCTCTATTTCCTATTTTGTTGAGTACGGTAATTATTTCTGGGCTATTTTGGGCAACCGCGTACGGGAAAGAACCTTATGTATTGTGGTTATAATTATCTGGACGCCTACTTTACACAACAATTTGACAACTAATACATATTCTCAATTGTCTTGTCTCAAATTGTCTTATGTAAACGCAGTGTTAGGTATACATATGTACATATGTTTGTTTTGAAACGACAGACTCGAACCTACATACATATGTACATACACACACATGCATTTATTTTTGTAGGCCTTATGATTGCAAAACAGACTTAATTAATCATCGCTACTCAGCGCATATGTACATATAAACATACATACATACATACGACGAAACAAAACAATATCGTGTGTGGGGGGTTGGGTGGAGAAGGTTTGTGCATTGAACAAAAACAATAATAACCTCGAATTGGATGGTAAATTTGCATTAAGATTGAATTGATTATTTTATTCCTATTCGCATGACACCTCCCGCCCAAGAACCATTGCTTAATAGTATGTACTTCACTGTGTAGGCGGTGCACATGTGTGTGTAACACAATTAAAACTTCATCTAAACCCGTAAATGCCTCGTAACTTATAGGTAAATGCCTCGTAAACGTATTTAATTTTGTATGGAAAATCGGTTTACATATTTACGAGGTTTACGTGGTTACGAGGCATTTACGCGTTGCCATGAATACCCATAATGAAACGAAAACAAAAAATATTACGTAAACGATTAGCACGGCACCATATTTACAATAATAATAACAACAACATTTTAATAAATATAGAACAAATCAATTCGTAAAAGGACATAAAGTGTTAGACCATACGTTTTTACATCGCACGAAGCAACAAGTTAAATAAATATATGTACACATACATGTAAATGTATGTATGTACATTCATATGTAGTATGAAATAAGAAATTGATTACTCCTTAAAGAAATGTATTAGATCAAGCCTAAAATAAATGAAACCGTTATATAAATATTGCTATTTCCGAGACCCTCCGGTTTGATGAACTGGATGATACAAGTAAAAAATACAAATTAATTTTTTCAAGTTGCCAGGCATCTTTTGAATCAAATATTTAATTTGTAGCTGCAATATTGCGAAAACTAGCTCCGAAACAATGTGACCAGGTTAGCCTTTTCGAGACTAGATTTGGCAATTATATTTTTGCTCTAGAGTCGAAATTTAAGGACTAGTTTCGTGTTTTTTTTCTGGCTACCCTGGAATGTTTGAGAATAATCTTTGCAAGTTCGGGCAGCCAAGATGAAAGATTAATTGAATTGCAATGGTAAATTGCTACAGTAAAACATATGCAACTATATTCTTCTTATTTTTTGTTGACGCTGTAACCGCCTAAGCGATTTTTGCTTTAATAGACCAGAAAGGGGCCGACTGCGAAGCTTTGAGTGAAAAATTTAAAAATCAATTTAATAATTACCGTTCACTTGAATTTGTAGAGATGCTGTTAAATTCTTTGGCATAAGAGTGCTGACTTTTTAGCTTACCTTAGTGAGCTTCAACTTTTTCTAACCATTTTTCACGTTAGTTTGGCTTAATTTTTTGTGATCATATGGTCACACTGCACCGAAGTCACACAACTTTTAGTTCCGCAAATAAATTCTTTTATTTATGTTTTGCTCAGTAAAGCTACTGAAATTTCACTTATTTAGTATCCAAGACATCGAAATGAGTATACATACATTTTCTAAATATTTATGTTTCTTAAGTCCTTTGAGCCTAATGCCGAATTTCCACTCGGCATTAAAATTGCAAAAAATTGGAAGCATTTAAAAAATGTGATGTGGAAATGAATTTAAGGACTACTTTTTTAACGTAATGACAAAAATATTTTTTATTGCCCAAGTTTGTCATTACAGTTTTTGCCATTTAATGCTTAGTGGAAATCCAGCATTAAAAGCTATTTATTAATTTTTTTACGTCTTGTCGAATAATAATGTTTTATTGTTTTGGAATACATTGAGACCTTCCACATTTCTTGTAAAAACCGGGAAAAATGTAATTGTTTTCATTTTTTGGGCAAATAAATAGCGGAGCACGACAAAATCCTAGCAAGTTTGTGCCGCGCAACCAATTGTAACTGATTCCTATAAGGATATTCCGTAGAATCAGTTTGCTACCAGCATTTTGCCGAAATCTCAATAAATAAACGAAGCATTAAATATAGAAATATTTTGTATGCAATATGTTTCGCTATATCTTTTAAGAAGTCAACATCAAATTGAGAAGTCTCAGAAACAGCGATATTGCCATAAATGAAACGCTATAAACCGTTAGTAACCTTAGAGATAATTATTAATTAAAGACAACCAAAAATAAATAAATAAATAAATAGGTTAACGCAGCTACACTTGCACTCACTGAGAAATGTAGATAGGACGAAATAATCAAGTAAATAAATAATTAATAAGAAAACACAAATGTTTAGAAATAAAATAATACAAAATAATAGATAATGCAATAAAGCGTGGCCAGCATATTATTTGAATATACACATACATGCTTACATATGTACATACATATCTGTAAATGTTTTTGCTATTTTTACGGGAAAATGAGTTGTTCTTTTGTTGAACGAAATACTACACAATACACTTTCCACATCGCTTTACTAATATTCCTATAGCCTTAATAAAAATAATTTGAATTGTTGCCGTCAAAATGTCCCAGAACAGCTGACTTCACTTGATCATCAGTGCTAAATTGTCTTCCTCGCAAGTCGGATTTAGAGAATATTTAATAGTGGTCACTTGGCCCGAATCTTGACTATACGGGGTATGGTTAGTGTTCGTCCGATATCAACATGTACTCATTAAAAGTAGCGAAAATAATACTCGATGCTCCTTGAAGTATAGCCAAAATATCGAGTCTACCTGCACTCAAAGGTACTCAGTCTAAATACTTTAGTTCAGTTACCAGTTACGTTATAAAATATACTGTGAAGCCTTCGAGAACCGCCCTTTAGAAGGAACCGAAGGCACAATAACGGAAAATAAACTTCGTGCTAGCGTATTAAGCGATCTTTCATATCCTCCTATTTTGGAATGGGGTTACTTTAAAGTGGTGGAACAGCAGATGTTAAATAATGAAAAAGCGATTTCTTGTTTTGGATTTTTCTGTTTCAAAACGATTACTCCATGAAACTTTTAAAATTCATAGACTGGGTTTACATCCTCCTCTGATTCGCTACTACTATTTCTGTCCACTTTTAAGCGCTCTTTTAGTCTTGCCATTGCACTTAAAGAAGAGGGTAGTCCACCTAGAAAAAAAAATTTGCCAAATATTCATCATATTTATATACCTATGGACGTATTTTCAGTTACATAATCTTTATCTGAGATTGCAGCATTTCAATGAACTAATCTCCTAACGCTGTGAAGTACCTGATCAAATGATGCCTAAATTT